CATGTGTCTGAGGTAGAATTTGATCTCAGGTCCTCCTGACTCCAAGGCCAGAGCTCTATCCATTGTGCCACCTAGCTGCCCCTGGGCTCCTTTCCTTCCTACTTTTTTTCATTATTCCCCTTGAGATTCCTCACCTTTCTTTCTACAGATAAATTTTGTCATTATTTCTTTCTAGCTCTATTAAAAATCCTTTGATAGGTTTGACTGGTAAGGCATCAAATACACAAAATAATTTGGACAGTTTTGTAATTTTTATTATATTGGCATAATTTACCTATGAGCAATCATTATTTTTCCAACTATTTGGAGCTCTCAGTTTCTGTATTCATATAGTTCCCATGTGGATTCAGATAGACTTCTAAGTAATGTATTCTATAGGTATTAGGAATGAAATTTCTTTTTCTGTATCTTGCTTGGTTTTCTTGGTACTATACATACATGCTGATGATTTACGTAGATTTATTTTACATTCTACAGCTGCTGAATTCATGAATTGTTTAAATTATTTTTTAGTTGACTCTTTAGGGGTCTCTAGATAGTCCGTATCATCTGCAAAAGAAATGATTTTGTTTCTTTTTTACTTTTTTATTTCCTCAATTTCTTTTTCTTTGTCTTATTGCTATCTCTATATTTTTAGCACTATGTTAAATGGTAGTGGTTTTTATCATGAATATTTTTATTGTAGCTTTGTTGAAATCATGATTGCTACCCTTACTTTTTTGAGTTAATCTGAACATAATGGATTCTGCTCCAATCCTGTTGTTTTAACTCCGTGTGACTGTTTAGATTTCAAATATGTTTTTTGTAAGCAACATATTGGAGGCAGCTAGGTGGCACACTGGTCCTGGAATCAGGAAGACTCCTCCTCCCGAGTTCAGATCTAGCCTCCAAGACTTACTATCTGTGTGACTCTGGGCAAGTCACTTAACCTTGTTTGCCTCAGTTCCTCATCTATAAAATAAGATGGAGGAGGAAATAGCAAAACACTCTAGGATCTTTGCTAAGAAAACTCCAAATGTGAGTCAGACACCACTGAGATGACTGAACAACAACAACAACGACATAACATATCATTGGATCCTGTTTCCAAATCCATTCTGCTATTCTCTTCAATTTTGTGGGTGAATTCACACCATTCATGTGTATGGTTATGATTGTTAATTGTGTATTTACCACCATCCTGTCCTCTTGTACTTTCTTCTCTCTTTCCCCTCTATTTATAAAAAAAAAATTAGGAGGTGAAAGAGCAGTTTGTGAACTATAAATGATGCAGTCTGTTTCTCTTCCTCTTCCTCCCTTTACCCCACCCCCAATAATTTTTTTCTCTTTTCTTTCAGCCCCAAAGTTTTGCTTATGACTACTCCCTCACCAAACCTCCCTTTCCCCTTAAATCTCTTTCTCCCTTTTTCATGTCCCTACCTATTTCCCTGTTGAATTTAATATATTTCCACACCACACTTTTTGTGTGTCCCTATGTGTTTGTGTATATATTTAAGGGTGTGTGTGTGTGTGTGTGTGTGTGTGTGTGTATGTGAGAGAGAGAGAGACAGAGAGACAGAGAGACAGAGAGACAGAGGGAGAGAGAGAGAGAGAGAAAGAGAGAGGGAGAGAGAGAGAGAGTTTTAAACTTTCCCTGGTCCATTTCCCTGGTTCTTTTGTACTTTTAGACAGATATGTCTTAATGGTTTTTCTCTTGTTCTTATTGACATTGTCCTTGGTTGCTGTATTTTATGTATTTCTGTTGTTTAGGTTATTTGAAAAGCAAATTATTTAGGTCTGGTTTTCTTTGCAGGAATACTTCACATACCTCTTTTTGTTGAATGTCCATTTTTTTTTCAATAATAGGTTTAGATTTGCAGGGTATGTTACCTTGGGTTGCATCTTGAGTCCTTTTCTTTTTGAATCACATCATTCTATCCATGTCTTTTCCTTTATGTTTGAAGGACTTTCTTCTGGTTGCTTGTGGGATTTGTGGCTTGTCATTGGAATCAGTAAATTGAAAGGCTGTGTATCTTAGAGTTTGCAGCATAGGCTTTCTTCTTTCTGGAGATAATCTGTGGATTGTCTTGACTGGCACTTTATTCAGGGGATCTGGGCAGTTTTCTTGTAATAGTTCTTGTATTACAGGGTTCAGATTTTTTAATGTGTTCTTCTGGGAGCCCTATCATCCTTAAGTTATCTCCAGACATCCTGTCTTCAAGATCGGTGTGATTTGCTTGCATGGACATTATCTTTCATTTTAATGTCATTGCTTTTTGTTTCTCTTCTGTGTATTTGCATTCCCAAGCAGTTCGTTTTTCCTTTTGTATCTTTGGTGAGGTTACTGAGGGAGGGTGGCAGGTGGAGAGAATGGGAGTGATAATGGGAAGCAAGGAGTGGTCCAACCCCCCTGCTATGACCAGTGACTTGAGGAGTAAGAGTGAGAGTGGCATTAACGCCAAGTCTTCGGGAGAGCCAGAAGATGGAGAACTGAGAAAGGAAAAAAAGCTGAGGAAAACAAGTTTATTTATAATAGAGTAGATATTCCAGAGGGTACAATGGAAGGGGTAGCTAAATCTGGACTGAGACACTGGGGGAATAGGGTTGAGAGGGATGGGATTAAAAGAACAGGTAGTGGGTGATGTTGAGATAAAAATGATCCAAGGGTCCATTGATTAGATATTGCTGTCAATTACTGAATCGATAATGCAGAGATAGTCACTGCAGTTTTATTACATGAATCTCACTGAACATTGAGTCAGTGAGGCTAGAACATGACACTGAGCAATTTGTTTGTTTTTTTGGTGAGGCACTTGGGTCACCTTGCCCAGGGTCACACAGCTAGTGAGTGGTAGGTGTCTGAGGTCGGATTTGAACTCAGGTCCTCCTGACTCCAGGGACGGTGCTCTATCCACTGTGCCACCTAGCTGCCCCGAATCTGAGCAATCTTACGGAGGATGTGAAGACATAAATAGGATGGGTACAGTGGAATTTTATAGAAAGCAGAATCAGGAGGGAAGGGCTTATACATCAAGAAACAATTTACAAGAAAAGGAGAGGACAAAGATGTGTGCATCAAGGGGCAGGAGCTGGGAAAGTTCTTCGAGCACTAGACAAAGCCCTGGTGTGAAGACAGAAGCTGGGACTCAGGTGGCTTGAATCCTGTAGGGTTGGTAAAGGGCCCCTTGGGAAGGGTATGCCTTGAAGAGAGTAAAGGCAGGTTTTTGTTGTTGTTGTTCAGTTATTGTTATTATTTTTTTTAAGGTAATTGGGGTTAAGTGACTTGACCAGGGTCACACAGCTAGCAAGTGTCAAGTGTTTGGTCCGAGGCTGGATTTGAACTCAGGTCCTCCTGACTTCAGGGCTGGTGCTGTATCCACTGCGCCACCTAGCTGCCCCCTGTTCAGTTATTTTTAGTTGTGTCTGACTCTTCCTGCCCTCATTCGGGATTTTCTTGGCAACGATACTGGAGTGATTTGCCATTTCCTTCTCCAGCTCATTTTACAGATGACAAAAGTGAGACAAACAGGGTTAAGCGACTTGTCCAGAGTCACACAGCTAGTAAGTGTCTGAGGCTGGATTTGAACCTATGAAGATGAGTCTTCTTGACTCCAGGCCAGCACCATATGCACTCTGGCACCATCTAGCTGCCTGAAGGTAGGTAATGCAGATTTGAGGCTCCCTGGAAAGCCTCCGGAGTGAAAACAAAGGTCAGAAGGTGGGTGGGTAGCTCCTGAGCTGTCCCTGGGAAGTCTCTGATAGGAAGAGGCAAGGGCCAGCCTGGGAGGCCTTGTGTAAAGACAGAGGCCAGAGTGGTGAGGGTCAGAAAGGAAAAGCCAGGAGACAAGCCGTTTTGTGTGCTACAGAGTGATCCTGAAGGGACCCAGGACATGAAGGCTCATACTCTAGAACTCGCAGTTCCCCCCCTCGCAGGGTCCCAAACACGTAGAATTTTCTCCTTGATGTGCTTGTTTGTTAATTTTCTACAAGTCTGCCCATTCTCCCCCATGAACCCTGTCGGTATCTGTGGGAGAATATGAACCAAAGTTACTTGCAGCCTGTGATACTTGATTTATTTATTTTATTTTATTTTATTTTGGTGAGGCAATCGGGGTTAAGTGACTTGCCCAAGGTCACACAGCTAGTAAGTGTCAAGTGTCTGAGGTGATATTTGATTTATTACCAAGTTTGTGTTATGTTGGATAATTGTGATGTTATGTTTATTCTTACTTTTAATGTTTAATTTTAATGTAACTTCATGTACATTTATCTTTTTAGTGTTTATTCTTTTAATGTTTAACTAAATGTTTGAACCAATATTTAATTAAATTTTTTTTATGCTGAAGAGCCAACGGTGGTGACTGAATGGTAAACGGTAAATGGAAGCACCCTGGCGGAAGCCAGGAGCAGGTATGTGCTCCAACAGGAGGATTAGCCGAGGATCCTCAGTTTGCTTCTGCACGTTGGGGCGGCTTCTTTGAGATGCTGAGCCCCAGACTGAGGGAAGGTCGGGTAACCGAGAAGTGCAGGGAGTGAGAGCGAACGGTCAGCTGGCCAGCCTTTCCATTTGGAGGCTACACAAGGACGTTGTGGTCATAAGGAATCACTACAAAGAGAAAAGCTGTCTTTGTCTGTGTTCCTAACTAGGGAGGGTAGCTCTTCATTTAATCCTGCTCCTTTTTTCTGTCTTTCTTTTAGTAGCTCTGAAGCCTTCTAGAAAGACACACTTGTCCTTTTTTCAGCATTATCTGTGCCTGTGTGTATCAGTGGTGGTGGTTTGCACGGGGGTGTGCGTGTGTATACTAATGTGGGGAGGGTGTGTGTGCATTGCAGGAGAATAATGGTGATCATGGTGAGCAGTGGGGGCTGGGGAGAGCAGAGCACCAGGAGCTGGGCTGGAGGAACCGTTTCAATTGGTAGCTGGTTTCAGTTTCCTTTTCCCTGGATTGGAACGGAATGCAGAGTTTCATTTTTCTGTTTCCCTTTCCTTTGGTGGAGACAAGGAAACCAAAGTATCCCTGTTACATAATATCGACTCTTTAAATTCAAGAGCCAGGAGGCTGAGAGACAGATCTCACTGAAGGTGTGGTGCCAGGCGGAGGGGAATTCTCCAGTCAGATCTGATCAAGTCTGTTTTTGCCTTGCAGACATGAGGTAAAGCTCTCTTGATTTCTCTGTAAGACTGTTACTTGGAAATTTAAAGCTCACATTTCCCTTTTTCCCTTAGACTCTGGATTTGGACTGAGGAGATCAGGGTTACAATTCTAGCTTTGCTGCAGTGGAACCATTTTGGGCAAATCTCTTACTTTCTCCAGGCCTCAGTTTCTTCATCTGTAAAATGAGGATAATGATGCTAGAAGTGCTTTCTTTCCCAGGGTTGTTGTGAGAAAAGTATTTAGTCAGTTTTAAAGAGTGATAGAAATATGATTCATGCTCCCCTGTTACCCAAGTGTCTCTGTTTCCTAATTTGTCAAGTTGATGGAGATATCTCTTCAAGTCCTTGCAAGCCCTGCATGTCACTTGAGACAGTTTAATTTAGATTTGAATATTTATGTGAATTTTAATGTTACAGCTCTGACTTCAGCTCTCTGTAAAATAAGGTATAACAGAAAGGAAACGAGTTTGGAATCAGACAAGCGTTCAAACGATCGCAATCACCCTGGGGAGATGTGTGCCTTCGGAAAGTCTCCCCATCTTGATTCAATTGCTTTTGTCCTGGGTAAAAAATCATTTATTGATAGCTCTCCTTCTACCCCCAATGGCAGAGAGAGAGAGAGAGAGAGAGAGGGAGGGAGGGAGAGAAAGAGAGTGTATCAAGTGCTGATCATTGGGGGTGATGGTGAGAGTTCATGGAAAAGTTTGGAAAGGGAGATTGGGACCAGCTTTCAGGTTCTGAATGGCAGGGAGAGGAATTTGCATCCTTTAGGTAATGGGGAGCCATGGATGGCTCTCAAGAAATGGAATGATCTCAAAAGAGCTGGAAGAGACATTAAAAGTCATTCATTCCAACCTCCTCATTTTACAGATGAGGAAACTGAGGCACAGAGAGGCTCAATGATTTGCAGAGGGTCACATAGCTAGTAAATACTGTTGTTGTTCATCCTTGGTTCTCAAAGACGACCAGTGATGTCACGAGGGTGATGTCTTGACTTGTGCATAAATTGGATTTAAGTGAGGCAGAGCTGCACAAAGTCATCAGCCTCACTCTCTTCTGCAGAACAGAGATATCCAGTGGCAGGACAGAAGTCAAGACCACTGGTGATACCGTCACAAAAATATCAATCTGGGGGGAAAGACCCTTGAAGTTTCTGGCCGGAACAGAAAACAATTGCTATTTACACTATTCTAAGCCACCTAAACCTAAACCAAGAGCCTCAGAGGCTTGGGCTGGGGGCTACAGTTGGCCATTGTGCCAAGTGCTGGATACACAAAGAAAGGTGAAAAATGGTCTCCGATCCCAAGGAGGTCACTGCCCTGCAGGAGAGGCAACATGCAAACAGCTCTGTATAACGTGGCATAGATAGGAGGAAGAAAGAAGGTCCTCATATGGGCTGGGATCAGGAAAGACTTTTGGCAGCAGGTGAGATTTTAGATGGGACTTGAAGAAAGCCAGGAGGTGGAGATGGGGAGAGAGAGAATTCCAGCCATGGAGACACCATTAGATTGTAAGCCCCTTTGGGGCAAGGACTATCTTTTGCCTCTTTTTGTATCCCCAGCACTCAGCTCAGTGCCTGGCACATAGTAGGTACTTAATAAGTGTTGATTGATTGATTGATGAGCGATAAAAATGCCCAGAGTAGAATATGGAGCATCTTGTGTGAGCAGGAAGGAGGCCAGAGTCACAGGATTGAAGACAGAAGAGGTTGAAGGTTAAAGAGAAGGGATGACTGAGGTTGCTGTCTGCTGGAGGCCAGGAGGGACGGGACCAGGGGCCACCTCGTTGTCAGGGACTGTGGGAATGGAAGAGGGAGTAGAGGGAGGGAGTAGAGGGATGGTGTCAAGGGGGTTGAAATGTGTGGAAAGCACTTTGCAAACCTGACCAGGCTTTATAAATGTCAGCAATTAGCATGTGTCCTTGGGTAAATCCTTCCCCTCTGTCGGCCTCAGTTTTCTCCTCCATAAAATGAAGAGGTGCACCAAGGCGGTGATCGAGGTCACATCCAGGTCTCGATCTATGATCCTTTAGGTCAGGGGTCCACAGGCCCCCAAGGGCCATGGGTAGATTTCAAGTGGTCTGTGAATTTGGACTGGGATGTCTCTATGTCTGTATCTATATCCATATCTATCTTTATTGCATTCACCTCTGGTCTCCTTTGTAATTCTATGTATTTTATTTTATGCACTTAGAAACCTTATTTGGAAAAGGGTCTCAGGGGATTCAGCAGGCTGCAAAAGGGGCATAGGACACAGAAAAGATTGAGAAGCCCTCTTTTGGATTCATTGGCACAGGAAATGCTCACCAATGAGTGGCAGTTAGCTGGTAAAGGTCCAAAGCTGGACACAAACCCAGGTCTTCCAGAGTCCGGCTCCAACACTCAACCCACTGGACCTTTCTTCCTCTTGAGGAGAGCCTCCTTTTCTCCTTTGACTAGGTTACCTAGTGACTAGAGAAATGCCCTTGGAGTCAGGGAGACCTGAGTTCAAAATCTGTGTCGGAAACTTATTGGCTCCCTCAGCCCCAGTTTCCTCATTTGGAAAAAAGAGGTCAATAATAGCGTTTACCGTGAGAATCAAATGAGCTTGCATTCAGAGTGCTCTACAAATGGTACTTCTTACTATTCTTATTAATTACTATTATTCTTATGTTTGTTGTTACCATTATTGTTACTATTCTTGTTCTTATCACTATTCTAGAAAAGAAGTTAGTGGGTGGGGGCGACGGGAGGCGAGGCTTGGCGAGCCAGGGCTGACTGCCGGTTTTCTCTGTGAGCTCTAACCCACTTTTTTCCAACCCCTGCAGCGAGGTGACCCGAGAGTCGCTGAAAGCAGCCCTGAAGCAGCTGAGCTGTCACTTTACGTGGAATTTATTTAAGGATGAGAATAGCATCGAGAACCTGGAGGGGAAGATTGTAGACAGCATTGGGTTTCTCTGCCCTCAGTCCAAAGCGTCAGGACACAACCTCCTGGCCTACCTGAAACATCTGCAGGGTCGCGACGAGGAAGCCCTGCGCTGCCTCCAGCAAGCCGAGGAGCTGACCCAGCAGGAGCACCCTGGCCAGGCTGAAGTCAGGAACCTGGTCACTTGGGGCAACTATGCCTGGCTGTACTACTACATGGGCCGGCTGGAGGAGTCCCGTACCTACCTGGACAAGGTCACGCAGACGTGCAGGAAGTTTGCAAGCCCGTACAGGATCGACTGCCCAGAGATGGACTGTGAGGAAGGCTGGGCCAGGCTCAAGGGCGGCAATCGCTACGCAGAACGGTCCAAGGCCTGTTTTGAGAGGGCTCTGGAGAAGGAGCCCCTCTGCCTGGAGCTTCGTGTGGGCCTGGCCATCGCCACCTGTGGTCAGGATGAGGTCAGTAGATCATGGAGGCACCAACCTCTTGACCTCCTGAGGCAGACCCTTGAGCTGGATCCTGATAACAATTACCTCAAGGTGCTCCTGGCCTTGAAACTCCAGAAAATGAACGACATAGCCACAGGAGAAAAGTTAGTGGAAGAAGCCTTGGAAAAAACCCAGTCACCAGAGGTCTTCCGGCTGGCTGCCAAATTTTACCGGAGCCAAGGTTTCCTGGAAAAAGCCCTCAGCCTGTTTGAGAAGGCTTTGGAGTTTCAGCCTGCCACGAGCTCACTCTACCACCAGATCGGATGCTGCTGTCGAAGCCTGGCCAGCCAGCTCCTTCACAGGGACAAGATGGAGGAGCTCCGGGACCCTGGGACCCGAGAGAAGGTGAAGCAGCTGCAGAGCCGTGCCGCTGAGTATATGGAAAAAGCCCTGGAGAAGAACGGCTGCTACCCTAATATGTACTTAGACCTTGCCTCCATGTACACAGTGCTAGGCCACCACAGTAAGGCGGAAGACATCTACCAAAAAATACTGGTAATGGAGCAGCTCACGGACAATGAGAAGCAGCAGATGCACCAGCGTTATGGGAACTTCCAGGACTATTTCCGGGGCCAGAGAGACATTGCCATTCACCATTATTTAGAAGGTGTGAAAATAGGGGGAAAATCTGCTGAGTATGAGAAAATGAAGTCCAGACTGCAAGAATTAGCAGTCCACCAGGGATCCCAAAAGTCACCCTCCTTGCAGGGCTGGAGGCTGCTGGGGTTCCTGGCCAAGATGAATGGAGATGAGTCACTGGCCATTGAGTACTATGAGAAGGCTCTGGGCATCCTGTTCAAACATTCCAGCTCAGGCATTGCAAGCCTCTTCCCCTCTCCTTCCTCTCCAGAGGCAGAGAGAGAGGAGGGCCCAGGAAGGGTCCTGTTCCAAGGGCGCAGTGATGGTGCCGCTTCTGTGCTCAATGGGGAGAGCAAAACCAGGCAAGAAAGACAGGAGATGCCTACGAAGATGAATGGGTGTCCGGGGAGAGCCAGCCCACCCTTCCTAGGGTCTCAGAACAGGGTCGCTTTTGCGTACAATTGCAGTGAAGAATAGCGAATAAGAACTGGTGGCCTAGAATGACCAGAGAGATAGTGGTGTTGGAGACGTTGACTGTGATGCACAAGATGGCTCGACCGGGAAGCTGGTGCTTCCCCGGCAGCCTCCTCTGATCCAAGCGACAGGCCTGTCATTTTTTAGATGTTATGGGCAAAAGGACCTGTAGCCAACTGAGGACATTGACTTTGACCCAAGAGCTACCGATTTCTTCTTTGTCTTCTCTGATCCCACACCGATAGCATCATTTCACGGCTCAGAGTCCATTAGGGGCTCCACATTGCCCCCCAGTAATGTCTAAACTTAGCTCAGCATTTGAGGAACTTCCCGTCTGGTTGTAATTTACTCCTCTGGACCCTTCACAGCACCTTCCCCCAGGAGTCCTCCAGACTACATCTGAAATGGCCTCAGCATGCTGATTCTGCTCATCTTTGAGCCCTTGCTCGTGAGATTTCCTAGACCAGACGTCGGGTCACCTGCTCCCCTTTCCATTTCCAGCTATGGAAATCCCACCCACCCTTCAATAGGCCATTCAAATGGATCATTTCATGTCATTATCTCCTACAGCTGGAAATAGCTCCTCTCCCCTAAGTCTCGGACAGCCCTTATCTGCAGCTCTTTCATTCATGTTGTACGATCAGTGTTGTTCATCTATAGTTCACCTCCCCTCCTGTTCCCCTTCTGACGTTGTAATATGCAGTCCTTAGGACAGTGCCTGGCGCACAGTAGATGATTAATAAATTAATACATTTAGAACAGGGATGTGTTTTGGTCATCTCGTCATCTAACACATGGCAGGCTATATTTTGATAACTGTATTTCCATTTAATTGTTTCTTTTGTAATCTGATGTATTTTATTTTGTGCATTTAAGCATCTTATTCAGAGCAACCTACACTAGAATGCCTAAAGGCATTCCCAAGGGAGACAGAAAAGGTCAAGAACAAGCCTTATCCTTGGCTCTTACCACTGTTATCACCAAGACAAAGCAGATGGAGCTGTCCTTCTCTCATGTACATGCTTCCTGCCCTGTTTCTGCCTGCTCCCTTGATCACCCTGACATCTTTAACCCTCAATGCTGGCTGTTCTCCACCCCTTTCATGACGTCTCCTTGACCTCCATAGTCCCTTTCATATCCCTTCCCAAACAGGGTGGCTGGGAGAGAGTTCAGCCCAATTTGCTCTGGGTCCTATGTCCCCCTAAAGGTGTCTCTGTTCTTGAAAGAAGGCAGCTCAAACTGGCAGCAAAGCTTCAGACCCATTCCAGGACACATTTGGTCAGGCAGTTTTGGGGGCTATTACATTAAAGGGGAGTCTCTGAAGTGGGTAAACCACTTAAAGATCATTGAACAGAATTGACCAATAGTTCAGAAGACTTAGAGTTGGGAGGGATTTCCTTGGAGAAGTCACTTACTCTGGGCCTCTGTGCCGGTCGCGCCGTGTACTCTCCTCCTATAAGGAGCAGGCTGCCAGGGTCATACTTACCAGTCTTTGGTGCCCACCCGGATAAACACAGAGATGAGCCGATCAGGAGGTGCAAACACTCGAGCTTTATTCAGAGGCCATCACAGCAAGGCCAAGCAGGAAAGCCGGAGCAAGAGAGCAGGAGCAAGAGAGAGCGAGCTCCGACCCCTACCGCCCCTATATACCTTCCTAGCCCCTCCTCCTCAGCCTGCCTACTAGTCATTGATTCTAGGATCAGATACTGGAAGGGGATGTCTGGGGTTAGCACTGCACCAAGGGAGAGGATGTGACACAGGAGGCTAGGACTGGATACAGGAAGGAGACGTCTGGGGTTAGCACTGCACCTAGGGAGAGGACGTGACGCAGGAGGCTAGGACTGGATACAGGAAGGAGACGTCTGGGGTTAGCACTGCACCTAGGGAGAGGATGTGACAAAGGAAGCTCGTTCTCTGCCGTCCCACTCCCACGTGGCACAGCCCCCTGCCTCAGGAGCGCATGCTCCGGCTACTTCCCCATATCCTGTTCCTACCCCAGTTCATCACAACTCCACATGGCACAGACCCTGCCTCGGGAGCGTGAGCTCTGGTTCCTTCCTAATATCTTGTCCCTGCCCCAACTTGCCACAACTCCCACGTGGCACGTAGCCAACATCAGACAATCCCTCACAGGCCTCAGTTTCCACATTTTAAAAATGGGAACGTTGCACTAGATGACCATGGAGTACCTTCTGATTTTAAATCTGACCCTACTTGACTGATTCCACTTTACCAGTGAGAAGACTGAGGTCCAGAGAGAGAGAAAGCGTATCATCCAATGTCACAAAATGAATGAAGATCAGAGCTGGGGCCCATACCCAGACTTTCTCACTCCCGGTGTCTTCTGCTCTTGACCTCTCCCCACTTCTTACTAGGACCTAGCTTGGCCAAAAAAAACCGAAACAAAACAAAATATCCCTAACCAAAACCCAAAAGGAGATGGGCTATTTCAGGGGAAAGGAGGAACAGTCATAAATGATAAAAGAAGCCTCACTTCCTCATGGTCGTGGCCTCCTTCTCCAAAGATGTCTGAGAGGGCAGTTAGTTCTTTGTGTCAAATGCTCTTGAGGGCCACAGTGACAGAAATTCCTTGGAGTGGCTCAGGGCTAGCGGTGGGCATCTGAGCAGATCTGATCACCTCTTCCATCTCTATATCCTGAATCCCACCCCACCCCAAACCACCAGATGGTGGCGATGACCCTCCCTCCCAAGAGGCAACCCGGCTCTGCTCAAGCACACTGGCCAGTCTTGGTCACGGGGGGATGAAACCAATGCGGAAGTGGTAGGCTGTGGGAGAGAAGCGTTGGAGAGGCTGTAGGGTGGTGGTGGGGCCTTAACTGGGCTCTTTTGTTATAGTGGAGGCAGTGATGTCTGTGAAATGACTGGGGTAAGAAGCAAGAAAACCGGTTGGTTTTAAAAAGTTGATTTAAAAAAAACGATGAAGAAGAAAGACTATCGGAGGATGGGTGGCCTTCACACCCACTAGGTGGCAATGTTGGACCACAGGTTGTGACCTTCAGGCTCCAGGCAGAGAAGCACCTCCCTCCTAGGCCTTGAAGACCAGACATGGCAGGCTGAGGTTTACAAAAAAGGCTGCCTGGTCTGTATTGAACTTGAAGAAAGTTTTCTTTCCAGCTTTTGTTTTGATATCACAGTCATTTCTAGGTATAATCCCACCCCTGGTCCCCACTTGAAGAATTCCTTGTAACAAAGAAAGTCAGCCAAGCTAAATCAGTCCATAAAATGGCTGCTTCTGATAGTATATGTCGTATCCCACACCAGTAGTGCCCCACTCCCAAAAATTGTACCAGGGAAAGACATTTTTAGTTATGACTCTGCCTACTGCAAGTACTAATGGGGTTAAATGAGAGAAGGAAGCATTCCCCTGGCTCTGATTCATTCTCACCTCCTTTTTTCATTCAACTTTCTTCTTCTTTTTGTTTTTCCTCACTCTACTTTCCTTACTCTTACCTTTCTCTTTCTTCCCTCCCTCCATCTCTTTTTCTCCTTCCTTCCTTCCTTCCTTCCTCCCTCCCTCCATCTCTTTTTCTCCTTCCTTCCTTCCTCCCTTCCTTCCTTCCTTCCTTCCTTCCTTCCTTCCTTCCTTCCTTCCTTCCTTCCTTCCTTCCTT